TCGGAAATGCCATTTTCTTTCGATTCTGGAGGCTACAGATCACGGAATCAGGCCGAGGCTATTCTCCACCAATAATTAAGTCTATTGATCCTATTCTCCGCGGATGATAAGCCAGTTAAGCTTCGATTTGGGCCAATTTATTTTCGGATGGCATTTTCGTAATTTCTTGGGCCATGAAAGGCCATTATCTTTGGATATTGAAGGCTACAGATCACGGATTCGGCATGAGGCTATTCTCCAACGATGATTGAGTCCATTAAGCACAGATTTGGGCGGATTTATTCTCGGTCAATTTTTGGCAGTTTCCAAAGGGGGTACCATCACAGATTTCGGGGGATTTATCCGAAATGCCATTTTCTTTCAGTTCTGTAGGCTACAGATCACGGAATCAGGCTGAGGCTATTCTCCACCAATATTTAAGTCTATTGATCCTATTTTCCACGGATGATAAGCCCGTTAAGCATCGATTTGGGCCAATTTATTTTCGGATGGCATTTTTGTAATTTCTTGGGCGATGAAAGGCCATTTTCTTTGGATATGGAAGGCTACAGATCACGGATTCGGCATGAGGCTATTCTCCAAAGATGATTGAGTCCATTAAGCACAGATTTGGGCGGATTTATTCCGGGTCAATTTTTGGCTGATTCCAAAGGGGTACCATTATAGATTTCAGGCGATTTATCTGAAATGCCATTTTCTTTCGATTCTGGAGGCTACAGATCACGGAATCAGGCCGAGGCTATTCTCTACCGATAATGAAGTCTATTGATCCTATTCTCCACGGATTATAAGCCCGTTAAGCATCGATTTGGGCCAATTTTTTTTTTGGATGGCATTTTCATAATTTCTTGGGCAACGTATGGCCATTTTCTTTGGATATTGAAGGCTACAGATTACGGATTCGGCCTGAGGCTATTCTCCAACGTTGATTGAGTCCATTAAGCACCGATTTGGGCGGATTTATTCCGGGTCAATTTTTGGCAGTTCCAAAGGGGTACCATCACAGATTTCGAACGATTTATCCGAAATTCCATTTTCTTTCGATTCTGGAGGCTACAGATCACGGAATCAGGCCGAGGCTATTCTCCACCGATAATGAAGTCTATTGATCCTATTCTCCACGGATGATAAGCCCGTTAAGCATCAATTTGGGCCAATTAATTTTCGGATGGTATTTTCGAAATTTCTTGGGCGACGAAAGGCCATTTTCTTTGGATATTGAAGGCTACAGATCACAGATTCGGCGTGAGGCTATTCTCCAAAGATGATTGAGTCCATTAAGAACCGATTTGGGCTGATTTATTCCGGGTCAATTTTTGGAAGATTCCAAAGGGGGTACCATCACAGATTTCGGGCAATTTATTCGAAATGCTATTTTCTTTCGATTCTGGAGGCTACAGATCATGGAATCAGGTTGAAGCTATTCTCCACATATAATGAAGTCTATTGATCCTATTCTCTACGGATGATAAGCCCGTTAAGCATCGATTTAAGCCAATTTATTTTCAGATGACATTTTCGTAATTTCTTGGGCGACGAAAGGCCATTTTCTTTGGATATGGAAGGCTACAGATCACGGATTCGGCCTGAGGATATTCTACAACGATGATTGAGTCCATTAAGCACAGATTTGGGCAGATTTATTCCGGGTCAATTTTTGGCAGATTCCAAAGTGGTTACTTCACAGATTTCTGGCGATTTATCAGAAATGCCATTTTCTTTCGATTCTGGAGGCTACAGATCACAGAATCAGGCCGAGGCTATTCTCCACCGATAATGAAGTCTATTGATCCTATTCTCGATGGATGATAAGCCCGTTAAGCATAGATTTGGGCCAATTTATTTTCGGATGGCTTTTTCGTAATTTCTTGGGCGACGAAAGGCCATTTTCTTTGGATATTGAAGGCTACAGATCACGGATTCGGCCTGAGGCTATTCTCCAACGATGATTGAGTCCATTAAGCACCAATTTGGGCGGATTTATTCCGGGTCAATTTTTGGCAGATTCCAAAGGGGTACCATCACAGATTTCGGGCGTTTTATGCGAAATGCCATTTTATTTCGATTCTAGAGGCTACAGATCACGTAATCAGGGCGAGGCTATTCTCCACCGATAATGAAGTCTATTGATCCTATTCTCCACGGATGATAAGCCCGTTAAGCATCGATTTGGGCCAATTTATTTTTGGATGGCATTTTCATAATTTCTTGGGCGACGAAAGGCCATTTTCTTTTGATATTGAAGGCTACAGATCACGGATTCGGCCTGAGGCTATTCTCCAACGATGATTGAGTCCATTAAGCACCGATTTAGGAGGATTTATTCCGGGTCAATTTTTTGCAGATTCCAAAGGGGTACCATCACAGATTTCGGGTGATTTATCCGAAATGCCATTTTCTTTCGATTCTGGAGGCTATAGATCATGGAATTAGGCCGAGGCTATTCTCCACTGATAATGACGTCTATTGATACTATTCTCCACGGATGATAAGCCCGTCAAACATCGATTTGGGCCAATTTGTTTTCAGATGGCATTTTCGTAATTTCTTGGGCGACGAGAAGCCATTTTCTTTGGATATTGAAGGCTATAGATCACGGATTCGGCCTGAGGCTATTCTCCAACGATGATTGAGTCCATTAAGTACATATTTGTGCGGATTTATTCCGGGTCAATTTTTGGCAGATTCCAAAGGGGTACCATCACAGATTTCGTGCGATTTATCCGTAATGCCATTTTCTTTCGATTCTGGAGGCTACAGATCAGGGAATCAGTCCGAGGCTATTCTCCACCGATAATGAAGTCTATTGATCTTATTCTCCACGGATGATAACCCTGTTAAGCATCGATTTGGGCCAATTTATTTTCAGATGCCATTTTTGTAATTTCTTGGGCGACGAGAAGCCATTTTCTTTGGATATTGAAGGCTACAGATCACGGATTCGTCCTGAGGCTATTCTCCAACGATGATTGAGTCCATTAAGCACAGATTTTGGCGGATTTATTCCGTGTCAATTTTAGGCAGATTCCAAAGGGGTACCATCACAGATTTCGGGCGATTTATCCGAAATGCCATTTTCTTTCGATTCTAGAGGCTATAGATCATGGAATTAGGCCGAGGCTATTCTCCACTGATAATGACGTCTATTGATACTATTCTCCACGGATGATAAGCCCGTCAAACATCGATTTGGGCCAATTTGTTTTCGGATGGCATTTTCGTAATTTCTTGGGCGACGAGAAGCCATTTTCTTTGGATATTGAAGGCTATAGATCACGGATTCGGCCTGAGGCTATTCTCCAACGATGATTGAGTCCATTAAGCACATATTTGGGCGGATTTATTCCGGGTCAATTTTTGGCAGATTCCAAAGGGGTAGCATCACAGATTTCGGGCGATTTATCCGTAATGCCATTTTCTTTCGATTATGGAGGTTACAGATCACGGAATAAGGGCGAGGATATTCTCCACCGATAATGAAGTCTATTGATCCTACTCTCCACGGATGATAAGCCCGTTAAGCATCGATTTGTGCCAATTTATTTTCGTATAACATTTTCGTAATTTCTTGGGCGACGAAAGACCATTTTCTTTGGATATTGAAGGCTACAGATCACGGATTCGTCCTGAGGCTATTCTCCAACGATGATTGAGTCCATTAAGCACCGATTTAGGCGGATTTATTCCGGGTCAATTTTTGGCAGATTCCAAAGGGGTGCCATCACAGATTTCGGTCAATTTATCCGAAATGCCATTTTCTTTCGATTCTGGAGGCTACAGATCAGGGAATCAGTCCGAGGCTATTCTCCACCGATAATGAAGTCTATTGATCCTATTCTCCACAGATGATAAGCCCGTTAAGCATCGATTTGGGCCAATTTATTTTTGGACGGAATTTTCGTAATTTCTTTGGCGACGAAAGGCCATTTTCTTTGGATATTGAAGGCTACAGATCACGGATTCGGCCTGAGGCTATTCTCCAGCGATGATTGAGTCCATTAACCACCGATTTGGGCGAATTTATTCCGGGGCAATTTTTGGCAGATTCCAATGGGGTACCATCACTGATTTCGGTCGATTTATCCGAAATGCAATTTTCATTCGATTCTAGAGGCTACAGATCACGTAATCAGGGCGAGGCTATTCTCCACCGATAATGAAGTCTATTGATCCTATTCTCCACGGATGATAAGCCCGTTAAGCATCGATTTGGGCCAATTTATTTTCGGATGGCATTTTCATAATTTCTTGGGCGACGAAAGGCCATTTTCTTTTGATATTGAAGCCTACAGATCACAGATTCGGCCTGAGGCTATTCTCCAACTATGATTGAGTCCATTAAGCATCGATTTAGCCGGATTTATTCCGCGTCAATTTTTGGTAGATTCCAAAGGGGTACCATCACAGATTTCGTGCGATTTATCTGTAATGCCATTTTCTTTCGATTTTGGAGGCTACAGATCAGGGAATCAGTCCGAGGCTATTCTCCACCGATAATGAAGTCTATTGATCATATTCTCCACGGATGATAAGCCTGTTAAGCATCGTTTTGGGCCAATTTATTTTCATATGGCATATTCGTAATTTCTTGGGCGACGAGAAGCCATTTTCTTTGGATATTGAAGGCTACAGATCACGGATTCGTCCTGAGGCTATTCTCCAACGATGATTGAGTCCATTAAGCACAGATTTTGGCGGATTTATTCCGGGTCAATTTTAGGCAGATTCCAAAGGGGTACCATCACAGATTTCGGGCGATTTATCCGAAATGCCATTTTCTTTCGATTCTAGAGGCTACATATCACGGAATCAGGCCGAGGCTATTCTCCACCGATAATGAAGTCTATTGATACTATTCTCCACGGATGATAAGCCCGTCAAACATCGATTTGGGCCAATTTGTTTTCAGATGGCATTTTCGTAATTTCTTGGGCGACGAGAAGCCATTTTCTTTGGATATTGAAGGCTATAGATCACGGATTCGGCCTGAGGCTATTCTCCAACGATGATTGAGTCCATTAAGCACATATTTGTGCGGATTTATTCCGGGTCAATTTTTGGCAGATTCCAAAGGGGTACCATCACAGATTTCGTGCGATTTATCCGTAATGCCATTTTCTTTCGATTCTGGAGGCTACAGATCAGGGAATCAGTCCGAGGCTATTCTCCACCGATAATGAAGTCTATTGATCTTATTCTCCACGGATGATAAGCCTGTTAAGCATCGATTTGGGCCAATTTATTTTCAGATGGCATTTTCGTAATTTCTTGGGCGACGAGAAGCCATTTTCTTTGGATATTGAAGGCTACAGATCACGGATTCGTCCTGAGGCTATTCTCCAACGATGATTGAGTCCATTAAGCACAGATTTTGGCGGATTTATTCCGGGTCAATTTTAGGCAGATTCCAAAGGGGTACCATCACAGATTTCGGGCGATTTATCCGAAATGCCATTTTCTTTCGATTCTAGAGGCTACATATCACGGAATCAGGCCGAGGCTATTCTCCACCGATAATGAAGTATATTGATACTATTCTCCACGGATGATAAGCCCGTCAAACATCGATTTGGGCCAATTTGTTTTCGGATGGCATTTTCGTAATTTCTTGGGCGACGAGAAGCCATTTTCTTTGGATATTGAAGGCTATAGATCACGGATTCGGCCTGAGGCTATTCTCCAACGATGATTGAGTCCATTAAGCACATATTTGTGCGGATTTATTCCGGGTCAATTTTTGGCAGATTCCAAAGGGGTAGCATCACAGATTTCGGGCGATTTATCCGTAATGCCATTTTCTTTCGATTCTGGAGGTTACAGATCACGGAATCAGGGCGAGGCTATTCTCCACCGATAATGAAGTCTATTGATCCTACTCTCCATGGATGATAAGCCCGTTAAGCATCGATTTGGGCCCATTTATTTTCGTATAACATTTTCGTAATTTCTTGGGCGACGAAAGACAATTTTCTTTGGATATTGAAGGCTACAGATTACGGATTCGTTCTGAGGCTATTCTCCAACGATGATTGAGTCCATTAAGCACCGATTTGGGCAGATTTATTTCGGGTCAATTTTTGGCAGATTCCGAAGGGGTACCATCACAGATTTTGGGCGATTTATCCGTAATGCCATTTTCTTTCGATTCTGGAGGCTACAGATCATGGAATCAGGCCGAGGCTATTCTCCACCGATAATGAAGTCTATTGATCCTATTCCCCACGGATGATAAGCCCGTTAAGCATTGATTTGGGCCAATTTCTTTTCGGATTCCATTTTCGTAATTTCTTGGGCGACGAAAGGCCATTTTCTTTGGATATTGAATGCTACAGATCACGGATTCGGCCTGAGGCTATTCTCCAACGATGATTGAGTCCATTAAGCACATATTTGGGCGGATTTATTCCGGGTCAATTTTTGGCAGATTCCAAAGGGGTAGCATCACAGATTTCGGGCGATTTATCCGTAATGCCATTTTCTTTCGATTCTGGAGGTTACAGATCACGGAATCAGGGCGAGGCTATTCTCCACCGATAATGAAGTCTATTGATCCTACTCTCCACGGATGATAAGCCCGTTAAGCATCGATTTGGGCCAATTTATTTTCGTATAACATTTTTGTAATTTCTTGGGCGACGAAAGACCATTTTCTTTGGATATTGAAGGCTACAGATCACGGATTCGTCCTGAGGCTATTCTCCAACGATGATTGAGTCCTTTAAGCACCGATTTAGGCGGATTAATTCCGGGTCAATTTTTGGCAAATTCCAAAGTGGTGCCATCACAGATTTCGGTCAATTTATCCGAAATGCCATTTTCTTTCGATTCTGGAGGCTACAGATCAGGGAATCAGTCCGAGGCTATTCTCCACCGATAATGAAGTCTATTGATCCTATTCTCCACAGATGATAAGCCCGTTAAGCATCGATTTGGGCCAATTTATTTTTGGAGGGAATTTTCGTAATTTCTTTGGCGACGAAAGGCCATTTTCTTTGGATATTGAAGGGTACAGATCACGGATTCGGCCTGAGGCTATTCTCCAACGATGATTGAGTCCATTAAGCACCGATTTGGGCGGATTTATTGTGGGTCAATTTTTGGCAGATTCCAAAGGGGTACCATCACAGATTTCGGGCAATTTATCCGTAAAGCCATTTTCTTTCGATTCTGGAGGCTACAGATCATGGAATCAGGCCGAGGCAATTCTCCAACGATAATGAAGTCTATTGATCCTATTCTCCACGGATGATAAGCCCGTTAAGCATTGATTTGGGCCAATTTATTTTCGGATGGCATTTTCATAATTTCTTGGGCGACGAAAGGCCATTTTCTTTTGATATTGAAGGCTACAGATCACGGATTCGGCCTGAGGCTATTCTCCAACGATGATTGAGTCCATTAAGCACCGATTTGGGCGGATTTATTGTGGGTCAATTTTTGGCAGATTCCAAAGGGGTACCATCACAGATTTCGTGCGATTTATCCGTAATGCCATTTTCTTTCGATTCTGGAGGCTACAGATCACGGAATCAAGCCGAGGCTATTCTCCACCGATAATGAAGTCTATTGATCCTATTCTCCACGGATGATAAGTCCGTTAAGCATCGATTTGGGCCAATTTATTTTCGGAGGGAATTTTCGTAATTTCTTTGGCGACGAAAGGCCATTTTCTTTTGATATTGAAGGCTACAGATCACGGATTCGGCCTGAGGCTATTCTCCAACGATGATTGAGTCCATTAAGCACCGATATAGGCGGATTTATTCCTGGTCAATTTTTAGCAGATTCCAAAGGGGTACCATCACAGATTTCGGGCGATTTATCCGAAATGCCATTTTCTTTCGATTCTAGAGGCTACAGATCACGTAATCAGGGCGAGGCTATTCTCCACCGATAATGAAGTCTATTGATCCTATTCTCCACGGATGATAAGCCCGTTAAGGATCGATTTGTGCCAATTTATTTTCGGATGGCATTTTCATAATTTCTTGGGCGACGAAAGGCCATTTTCTTTTGATATTGAAGGCTACAGATCATGGATTCGGCCTGAGGCTATTCTCCAACGATGATTGAGTCCATTAAGCACCAATTTAGGCGGATTTATTCCGGCTCAATTTTTGGCAGATTCCAAAGGGGTACCATCACAGATTTCGTGCGATTTATCCGTAATGCCATTTTCTTTCAATTCTGGAGGCTACAGATCACGGAATCAGGCCGAGGCTATTCCACCGATAATGAAGTCTATTAATCCTACTCTCCACGGATGATAAGCCTGTTAAGCATCGATTTGGGCCAATTTATTTTCGGATGACATTTTCGTAATTTCTTGGGCGACGAAAGAACATTTTCTTTGGATATTGATGGCTACAGATCACGGATTCGTCCTGAGGCTATTCTCCAACGATGATTGAGTCCATTAAGCACCGATTTAGACGGATTTATTCCGGGTCAATTTTTGGCAGATTCCAAAGGGGTGCAATCACAGATTTCGGTCAATTTATCCGAAATGCCATTTTCTTTCGATTCTTGAGGCTACAGATCAGGGTATCAGTCCGAGGCTATTCTCCACCGATAATGAAGTCTATTGATCCTATTCTCCACAGATGATAAGCCCGTTAAGCATCGATTTGGGCCAATTTATTTTTGGAGGGAATTTTCGTAATTTCTTTGGCGACGAAAGGCCATTTTCTTTGGATATTGAAGGCTACAGATCACGGATTCGGCCTGAGGCTATTCTCCAACGATGATTGAGTCCATTAAGCACCGATTTGGGCGGATTTATTCCGGGTCAATTTTTGGCAGATTCCAATGGGGTACCATCACAGATTTCCGTCGATTTATCCGAAATGCAATTTTCTTTCGATTCTAGAAGCTACAGATCACGTAATCAGGGCGAGGCTATTCTCCACCGATAATGAAGTCTATTGATCCTATTCTCCACCGATGATAAGCCCGTTAAGCATCGATTTGGGCCAATTCATTTTCGGATGGCATTTTTATAATTTCTTGGGCGACGAAAGGCCATTTTCTTTTGATATTGAAGGCTACAGATCACGGATTCGGCCTGAGGCTATTCTCCAACGATGATTGAGTCCATTAAGCACCGATTTGGGCGGATTTATTGTGTGTCAATTTTTGGCAGATTCCAAAGGGGTACCATCACAGATTTCGCGCAATTTATCCGAAATGCCATTTTCATTCGATTCTAGAGGCTACAGATCACGGAATCAAGCCGAGGCTATTCTCCACCGATAATGAAGTCTATTGATCCTATTCTCCACGGATGATAAGTCCGTTAAGCATCGATTTAGGCCAATTTATTTTCGGAGGGAATTTTCGTAATTTCTTTGGCGACGAAAGGCCATTTTCTTTTTATATTGAAGGCTACAGATCACGGATTCGGCCTGAGGCTATTCTCCAACGATGATTGAGTCCATTAAGCACCGATATAGGCGGATTTATTCCTGGTCAATTTTTGGCAGATTCCAAAGGGGTACCATCACAGATTTCGGGCGATTTATCCGAAATGCCATTTTCTTTCGATTGTAGAGGCTACAGATCATGTAATCAGGGCGAGGCTATTCTCCACCGATAATGAAGTCTATTGATCCTATTCTCCACGGATGATAAGCCCGTTAAGCATCGATTTGGGCCAATTTATTTTCGGATGGCATTTTCATAATTTCTTGGGCGACGAAAGGCCATTTTCTTTTGATATTGAAGGCTACAGATCATGGATTCGGCCTGAGGCTATTCTCCAACGATGATTGAGTCCATTAAGCACAGATTTAGGCGGATTTATTCCGGGTCAATTTTTGGCAGATTCCAAAGGGGTACCATCACAGATTTCGTGCGATTTATCCGTAATGCCATTTTCTTTCAATTCTGGAGGCTACAGATCACGGAATCAGGCCGAGGCTATTCCACCGATAATGAAGTCTATTAATCCTACTCTCCACGGATGATAAGCCCGTTAAGCATCGATTTGGGCCAATTTATTTTCGGATGACATTTTCGTAATTTCTTGGGCGACGAAAGAACATTTTCTTTGGATATTGATGGCTACAGATCACGGATTCGTCTCTATTCTCCAACGATGATTGAGTCCATTAAGCACAGATTTAGGCGGATTTATTCCGGGTCAATTTTTGGCAGATTCCAAAGGGGTGCCATCACAGATTTCGGTTAATTTATCCGAAATGCCATTTTCTTTCGATTATGGACGCTACAGATCAGGGAATCAGTCCGAGGCTATTCTCCACCGATAATGAAGTCTATTGATCTTATTCTCCACAGATGATAAGCCCGTTAAGCATCGATTTGGGCCAATTTATTTTTGGAGGGAAATTTCGTAATTTCTTTGGCGACGAAAGGCCATTTTCTTTGGATATTGAAGGCTACAGATCACGGATTCGGCCTGAGGCTATTCTCCAGCGATGATTGAGTCCATTAAGCACCGATTTGGGCGGATTTATTCCGAGTCAATTTTTGGCAGATTCCAATGGGGTACCATCACAGATTTCGGTCGATTTATCCGAAATGCAATTTTCTTTCGATTCTAGAGGCTATAGATCACGTAATCAGGGCGAGGCTATTCTCCACCGATAATGAAGTCTATTGATCCTATTCTCCACGGATAATAAGCCCGTTAAGCATCGATTTGGGCCAATTTATTTTCGGATGCCATTTTCATAATTTCTTGGGCGACGAAAGGCCATTTTCTTTTGATATTGAAGGCTACAGATCACGGATTCGGCCTGAGGCTATTCTCCAACGATGATTGAGTCCATTAAGCACCGATTTGGGCGGATTTATTGTGGGTCAATTTTTGGCAGATTCCAAAGGGGTACCATCACAGATTTCTGGCAATTTATCCGAAATGCCATTTTCTTTCGATTCTAGAGGCTACAGATCACGGAATCAAGCCGAGGCTATTCTCCACCGATAATGAAGTCTATTGATCCTATTCTCCACGGATGATAAGTCCGTTAAGCATCGATTTGGGCCAATTTATTTTCGGAGGGAATTTTCGTAATTTCTTTGGCGACGAAAGGCCATTTTCTTTTGATATTGAAGGCTACAGATCACGGATTCGGCCTGAGGCTATTCTCCAACGATGATTGAGTCCATTAAGCACCGATATAGGCGGATTTATTCTTGGTCAATTTTTGGCAGATTCCAAAGGGGTACCATCACAGATTTCGGGCGATTTATCCGAAATGCCATTTTCTTTCGATTCTAGAGGCTAAAGATCACGTAATCAGGGCGAGGCTATTCTCCACCGATAATGAAGTCTATTGATCCTATTCTCCACGGATGATAAGCCCGTTAAGCATCGATTTGGGCCAATTTATTTTCGGATGGCATTTTCTTAATTTCTTGGGCGACGAAAGGCCATTTTCTTTTGATATTGAAGGCTACAGGTCACAGATTCGGCCTGAGGCTATTCTCCAACGATGATTGAGTCCATTAAGCACCGATATAGGCGGATTTATTCCTGGTCAATTTTTGGCAGATTCCAAAGGGGTACCATCACAGATTTCGTGCGATTTATCCGTAATGCCATTTTCTTTCGATTCTGGAGGCTACAGATCAGGGAATCAGTCCGAGGCTATTCTCCACCGATAATGAAGTCTATTGATCTTATTCTCCACGGATGATAAGCCTGTTAAGCATCGATTTGGGCCAAATTATTTTCAGATGGCATTTTCGTAATTTCTAGGGCGACGAGAAGCCATTTTCTTTGGATATTGAAGGCTACAGATCACGGATTCGTCCTGAGGCTATTCTCCAACGATGATTGAGTCCATTAAGCACCGATTTAGGCGGATTTATTCCTGGTCAATTTTTCGCAGATTCCAAAGGGGTACCATCACAGATTTTGGGCGATTTATCCGAAATGCCATTTTCTTTCGATTCTAGAGGCTACAGATCACGTAATGAGGGCGAGGCTATTCTCCACCGATAATGAAGTCTATTGATCCTATTCTCCACGGATGATAAGCCCGTTAAGCATCGATTTGGGCCAATTTATTTTCGGATGGCATTTTCATAATTTCTTGGGCGACGAAAGGCCATTTTCTTTTGATATTGAAGGCTACAGATTACGGATTCGGCCTGAGGCTATTCTCCAACGATGATTGAGTCCATTAAGCACCGATATAGGCGGATTTATTCCTGGTCAATTTTTTGCAGATTCCAAAGGGGTACCATCACAGATTTCGGTCAATTTATCCGAAATGGCATTTTCTTTCGATTCTGTAGGCTACAGATCACGGAATCAGTCCGAGGCTATTCTCCACCGATAATGAAGTCTATTGATCCTATTCTCCACGGATGATAAGCCCGTTAAGCATCGATTTGGGCCAATTTATTTTCGGATGGCATTTTCGTAATTTCTTGGGTGATGAAAGGCCATTTTCTTTTGAAATTGAAGGCTACAGATCACGGATTAGGCATGAGGCTATTCTCCAACGATGATTGAGTCCATTAAGCACCGATTTGGGCGGATTTATTCCGGGTCAATTTTTGGCAGATTCCAAAGGGGTACCATCACATATTTCGGGCGATTTATCCGAAATGCCATTTTCTTTCGATTCTAGAGGCTACAGATCACGTAATCAGGGCGAGGCAATTCTCCACCGATAATGAAGTCTATTGATCCTATTCTCCACGGATGATAAGCCCGTTAAGCATCGATTTGGGCCAATTTATTTACGGATGGCATTTTCATAATTTCTTGGGCGACGAAAGGCCATTTTCTTTTGATATTGAATGCTACAGATCGCGGATTCGGCCTGAGGCTATTCTCCAACGATGATTGAGTCCATTAAGCACCGATATAGGCGGATTTATTCCTGGTCAATTTTTGGCAGATTCCAAAGGGGTACCATCACAGATTTCGGTCGATTTATCCGAAATGGCATTTTCTTTCGATTCTGGAGGCTACAGATCAGGGAATCAGTCCGAGGCTATTCTCCACCGATAATGAAGTCTATTGATCCTATTCTCCACGGATGATAAGCCCGTTAAGCATCGATTTGGGCCAATTTATTTTCGGATGGCATTTTCGTAATTTCTTGGGCGATGAAAGGCCATTTTCTTTTGATATTGTAGGCTACAGATCACGGATTAGGCATGAGGCTATTCTCCAACGATGATTGAGTCCATTAAGCACCGATTTGGGCGGATTTATTACGTGTCAATTTTTGGCAGATTCCAAAGGGGTACCATCACAGATTTCGGGCGATTTATCCGAAATGCCATTTTCTTTCGATTCTAGAGGCTACAGATCACGTAATCAGGGCGAGGCAATTCTCCACCGATAATAAAGTCTATTGGTCCTATTCTCCACGGATGATAAGCCCGTTAAGCATCGATTTGGGCCAATTTATTTACGGATGGCATTTTCATAATTTCTTGGGCGACGAAAGGCCATTTTCTTTTGATATTGAAGGCTACAGATCACGGATTCGGCCTCAGGCTATTCTCCAACGATGATTGAGTCCATTAAGCACCGATATAGGCGGATTTATTCCTGGTCAATTTTTGGCAGATTCCAAAGAGGTACCATCACAGATTTCGGTCGATTTA